ATCACACGCACACATGACGTTTCAGTCCACACAGGAGCTTTTTCAAGACCTACATATATACACACACACACACACACACATATATATATATATATATATATATTCTGGGAAATATATATACAGTAAGGGGGGAAAAAGTATGTGATCTCCTGCTGATGTTAAACGTTTGCCCACTGACAAAGAAATGATCAGTGTATAATTTTAATGGTAGGTGTATTTTAACAGTGAGAGACAGAATAACAAAAAGAAATCCAGAAAAATGCATGTCAAGAAAGTTATACATTGATTTGCATGTCAATGAGTGAAATAAGTATTTGATCCATTATCAATCAGCAAGATTTATGGTTTTATACTGGTAACAAGCTGAGATTAGAGGCACTTTCTTAACCCCTTCAGGACGGAGTGAATAGTACACGTTCTGATCAAAACAAAACGTAAACAAAAACTGGAATTTGTGTTACATGTCTGTTCACCCGTAATTCGCCACTGTCACATTAAGTGCACCCACACTTATTATATATCATTGTGTTCAGGAGAAACAGGGCTTTAATTTATCATTAACTATTCATATGTGGAACATAATTTATTATGAATAAAATTTAAAAAAATGTGAGAAAATAAGATTTTTTTTTTAATTTGTATTTCCGTCTGACATTTTAGCTGTTAATGTCATAATACTGTTACAGGGTCAAATATAGAACGTTCCATTTTCAAATTGAAATTTTCCAGATTAGTAATGTTACCTTTGAGACGGTGTGGGAGCCCAGGAATGAGAATTACCCCCATAATGGCATACCATTTGAAAAAGTAGACAACCCAAGGTATTGAAAGTGGAGTATGTTTAGTCTTTTTTAGTAGCCACTTAGTCACAAACACTGGCCAAAGTTAGTGTTCATATTTGTTTTTGTGTGAAAAAAGCAAAAAATTTATATTTGGCCAGTGTTTGTGACTAAGTGGCTACTAAGAAAGACTGGCCATACACCAACACTTGCAATACCTCGGGTTGTCTACTTTTGCAAATGGTATGCCATCATGGGGGTAATTCTCATTCCTGGGCTACCATACGCTCTCAAAGGCAACATAACCAATCTGGCAAATTTCAATGTCAAAAAAATGAAATGCAAGACTTATATGTGACTCTCTAACTTTCCAAAACACCATAAAACCTGTACATGGGGGGTACTGTTATTCTCGGGAGACTTCACTAAACACAAATATTAGTGTTTTAAAACAGTAAAACATATTACAACAATAATATACTCCATAAAAGTGCCGTTCGTTTGTAAAAAATGCAAAAAATTTAACTTTTACTTAAAATATCATTGTTGTAATACAATTTATCATTCTGAAACACTAATATTTGAGTTCAGCGAAGTCTCCTGAGTAAAACAGTACCCCCTATGTACAGATTTCATGGTGTCTTGGAGAGTTACAGGGTCAAATATAGTGCTTGCGAATTTAATTCTCTGCACTTTCTCACTGTGTTGTCAGGCATGTCAATCAAATTTTAATTAATCAAATCACATAATTATGTTAAAAGATTACTTAAATATACACGTAGAATTTTAATATATATGCATTTATAGGTATTTAAATTCTACGTGTTTACTAATGTAATCTTTTATGTAATTATATGTATCTCTCTCTCTATCTCTATATCTCTATCTCTACGGTTATTTGTATTTTATATATAGATAGATATATAGAATGTCATTCTAAGTGTATTTTGTTACCTATATACATATATTAATAACAAAATACTGTTAGAATGAAATTACATATGAATATATAATATTAAATTTTGTTTCAATATTTTATTTATTTTATTATTTTATTTATTATTGTAATTATACGTATATATATATATAATATATGTGTATATATCTAATATATATATATATATATTATATATATGTAACTTCATTCTAAGTGTATTTTAATATTAATATATATACTAATATTAGTATTAAAATACACTTTGCATGATGTTACATATATATATGTATATATATTATATATAATATATATACATATATTATATATATAAAAATACTTTTAATTTAATTTTAAACATGTCTAATTTTTTTTTTTACACTACCTACCAGCAGGGGGACTGTCTGATATTTTAGACAGTCCCCCTGCTGGCAGATCCACAGCCAGCTATAGGGGGGCATTTGATCGCTCTTTCAGAGCGATCACATGGCCCCCAGGGGCCTCATTCCCGGGGGAGGGCTGCCTGGGCTGTCAGGCAGCCCTCCAGAAGAGCATCGCGGTTGGAGGTGAGTAGATCTCACCTCCTGGGGGCTTAAGCCGTTACGGCGTTCTATGCCACCGCAACGGCTTTAAAGCCCTTTAAAGCCAGGACAGCATAGAACGCCGTAACGGCGTTAAGAGGTTAAAGGGAGTGCTCCTAATCTCACTACCTGTCTCGTTACCTGTATAAAAGACACCTGTCCACAGAAGCAATCAATCAGATTTCAAACTCTCCACCATGGCCAAGACCAAAGAGCTGTCCAAGAATGTTAGGGATAAGATTGTAGACATATTTTAAGGATGTACAAAACTGTAAATTTGGCTACTCCTAATGTTACTGCTATTTCTCTGATGGATTTTTGCAACCTAGGGATGGCCGGTTTCATTTGCATTGTGAGCTCCTTTGACCACATGTTGTGGGTTAACAGCAACAGCTTCCAAATGCGAATTCTACACCTGGAATCGACTCCAGAGCTTTTACCTGCTTAATTGATAAAGAAACAGCAAAGGAATAGCCCACACCTGTCCATGAAACAGCTTTCAAGTAATTTTTCCATTTACTTTTAGTCCCTTGAAAAAGACTGGGTTACATATTAAAGTGTTGTAATTCCTAAACACTTCCTCCAATTTGGTTGTGAATACCCTCAAATTAAAGCAGAGAGACTGCACTTTAAGCCAATGTTCATTATTTACTGTAACTTTAATTTATTTTGGTACACAGCCAAAATAATGAAACTTGTGTCAATGTCCACTTATTTACGGACATAACTGTATATATAAATACAAAAAAGAGAAGTCCTGCGCTCACTCCCATCACTACTGGGCCGACAGAAATGACTACAGTACACATCAGCCCCAATATATAGTAAAAAACAAAGAAAAGAAAAAGTTACCTGCGCTCTCTCCTTAATCCCTATGTATATTTAGACAAATGGAGGTCATTTAGTTGCTCCAATGGCCATTGGAGGGAAAGTCCACCTGCCAACGTCAAGGCAGACCCCCCTAAGCGGGTCCCAACACTGACCCTTCAGCCTGCTTCCTTGAGCTTCTGGCAAAGATATCTCTAATGAGACAGAGAGGGGTATTTTTTTTATATACACCCATATATACTTATTTACGGACATAACTGTATATATGTGTTCCAACAACCAAAGAATTTCCTATGCAAGTGTTCATTGAAGCTATTACACAGTGAGAGTGGTAGAAATGTTTAGATTTTAATGGCCTAAAGGAATATTGCTTGTGGGCAGTAAATTACAGTATGTTAGTATGACCCCTAATAAATATAAAGCTGGGCAGCAGAGATTAAAAAAACTGTTCAATTGACACATTTCAGAACTAATTTACAGCAGCTCAGTTGTGTTTACATGAGCCCATGGGTATTGCTGGTGGAAACATCAATAGATTGAAGATATGAAAAGGGAATTACTGGTTACTCGGAAGAAACATGACTTTCTCATGGAGTTATTTATAGGGCATGTTGGATTCAATAAAGAAATAAGAAATATAGAAATTATTATAGAGATATCTCAGTGTGATTTTTTTTTTTTTCTGAGGAACACCAAGAAGGAGGGGAATCGCCAAATAAACCTTACAAATTCCTTTTGTCAGCATGCCGCTTAATATCTCCATGAATGTCTGCTCAAGTCAGCATTATCACAATCACATCATGCTTTCTAATAACAGACTTTTACCACCTGCAAGGAAGAAAATTAGAAAATTTATGGAAGAACCTTTTTTGATCACAACTTAAATGCAGGAAGAAGCAACATGACACAAAAAGGGGGGTTGAAGTGACCATGATGATAGGAGGCTAAAATAACAATAGAAAATAAATGTTATAATAAGTGATTTACATTCATTATATTGAGGTTAGCTTTAGGATCAGTGTTGTAGGCTATACCGCCCGCTATGTGCCTCACGGAGCAACATTGGGAGATTAGGCACTCACACATTTATTAAGTAAACATTATAAAAACCCTTAAAGAAGCTGAAATAAAGCTTGTTTGACTGTGGTAAATGGAATAGCGTGTTCTGTATAATCAGTTTCTTGACCTCAGATTAAACTCTATAGGTATTATCATTTAGAATATCCAAGGAATTTCTATTGCAAGTACTGGGAAGAGAGTGAATATAACTGGAAGAGAAAATATATATTTTTTAAGTTAAATTTGAAGAGGTTTTTGAGAGTAATGTAACTTTAATTATACTTTTCATAGAGCAGATATATAATTTGCATTGCGAATATATACATACTATCACTTTAGTTGTTTAGCTTTTTTTTTTTAATTGCATTGTTATCACCTTAATTTTGTGTTTTATATATATATATATATATATATATATATATATATTTACAATCTTATAACAGAATATTAAATTACACTTTAGCTTATTTAGCCCTAGCACTAGTTGATTTGTCTCCCTTTAATGTAGGAGGCAAAATTGGTTCAGATAAGTAATCTCTAATAATTTCAGAGACACTACTCTCCTTTCTGATGCTTGCTGCTTCCTTGGCCTCTACCAAACTACCAACAACATTAAAGGGCCACTCGACTACAAAAAAAAACACACTGTTTAATAGATATCCTCAAAGCGAAAAAGGTGCATACATTTAATTAGGCACTTTACTATTTAAAAACAGTTTGAAAAAGCTGCAGTTCTCTTGTCTGCTGACTTCCCATTCTAACTTTGCACAGACTTTCTGTGGCTGTCCAATCTTAGACTTCCCACTCCCAGGTGTCTTTTATACAGGTAACAAGCTAAGATTAGGAGCACTTTCTTAAAGGGAGTGCTCCTAATTTCAGCTTGTTACATGTATAAAAGACACCTGTCAACAGAAGCAATCAATCAACCAATCAGATTCCAAACTCTCCACCATGGCCAAGACCAAAGAGCTGTCCAAGAATGTCAGGTACAAGATTGTAGACTTATTTCACAATTCACAATGCTGCTCAATGATAAGTATTTGCAGGGCAGGTGCTCTGGGTAAGTGCTGCCTCTCTGCTTGAAAGCTAGGGGGGTGTAACAAAGTTATTTATTTATTTTTGAAATGGCAATTTCTATTGGAATCAGCAATTATGTAAAATGAAAAAAAGAGAATGCCATAGAGTTGAGTTCCACTGTGCTGACATTCTGTTGCAAAAAATGTGTGGGAATCTATTTGTTCTCTTGCTCCTGCCTCAAGAATTGTAGAAATGGCCCGGTATCCTTCTACAATGCTCAAGTATGGTTAGCATATTTGTGTTGCCTTCTTGAATTGCACCCTTTACAACAAGATGAAGAATGTGTGTAGCACAGAACACACTACAAATTAACCATGTTGAAGAGCTTTCAGAATGATAGCTGCTCCGTCAGTTACCACAAACCCAATTTGCAGATTGGTGCCTGCATACTATCCTAACAAATCCCACCATTTGTCCGATTGCCTGTAATATGTTTACTGAAGCATATTTTTTACTAGCCTGACACTTTAGATGTTCTCCAAAGTCACCACCATGCCCAGCCACCAGGGGCTGCCACCTGTATGGCAAGCAGAGGAAGGCATGCTGGTCACTAGATGCACTCCACAAATCTGTGGTGAAGTGCACCCACTGACTTACTATCTTATCATGCTTCCTTTTAACTAGCAGCATGTAGGAATAGAACAGTGGTGGGTCTATCTTCCTGCTGATAGTGAATTGCAAGAGAAGTATATATTATGGAACAAAGACCTGTATCAGTTGCTTTAAAGGACTCCCTTTCTATCATCAAAAAGGAAACTCCCCTACAGAGATCAGCTGAGTAATCAGGCACGTGATTTTGTTAGCCCTCTTGTCTGGACATGACCATGACTTGAAATCCAACAAAGTGTTCAAGGGTAGGCTGGTGGATTTGCATCTTTGGAGGCTGTGGTAACATTACAAGTATAATATTTTCTCTTTTGCCAAATTTAGTTTTTTGAGAGAGAGAGATAGAGAGATATATACACAAACAAAATGTAGAAAGTCCTTGCACTCATGCTTTAGCAGACAGTTTGACGGGTGCTTGAAATCCAGGAAAATTCAAATATGTATAAATAGTGATCAGCACTCCCGGACTTTTGGAGGTTAAACCATACAGTTTATTAGTAATCTATTAAAAATAAGATCAACTTTTCAGTCCCAGCAGGGACTTTCATCAGGATCAGGCATAGATAATGTAGTAAAAACAGTGCATTTATATAAAGAAAACATAAATGGAATTAGTGGAAAATGACTTACCCCTGGTGCTGAGAATAGTGGGAGTGGTGCCCATAGCGTCCCCCATTTCCCCATGCGCACGCGTGGACGAAGCCACGCCCCCACGTGCTGTGGTGATGTCACGCGTTGCCACGGCAACGAAAATCACATGGTGCAATAATCAGGAAATGGCATGCATGTGAAAGAAGTGTATACCCAGTTGTTATAGCAACCTGGATATAAATCATGCAAGACATAGTGAAGAAATTATCTATAAATCTATATCCTAAACCATTAAGAGTCCTTCAATATGGAAAAATGGGTAAGGAAAGGGAAAAAAACTGGATAGGGATTTAAAATAAAGGGTATATATATATTTAATAACATAAGTAGTGGCTAATCTCCATTATGGTGTATAACAGTAGATGGAATTTTTATTATATCAAGTGAGATTTAAGTTTCTTCTAATAAGAGGTCTTAAAGTGGACCAAATATACTTAAATTAAAGTGCTTGCTAAGTTGTTTTAAAGTGCTATATGAATTAATAAAGTGATAGTTGTGCTCTAGAGCATGTCACTCCTACTTATTAAAATGCTACCATTATAGGACATGCTATATATTAAAGTGATACTGCCATATTATAAAGTGCTATAGTTCCAAATTTAAAGTGCTGTATAAAATTATTCTATGAATATTAAAGTGAAACACATGCATCATAATATTGGTACAATATTTACAATAACCATCTACCTATGTACATGAAGACAATGTTAGTACTGAACTAATGTACTAAATGTTAATGTCTAAAAACCATTAAAAACATTATTCTTATTGCAAAGGGGTTCAACTTTTAGAGAAATGAGTGATAAGAGATCATCTCATTAAGTCCTTTGGGTGCAATCGTATTTAACTGGAAAATCCACTGTGTTTCTCTGTTAAGAAGAAGTTTGCCACGGTCTCCCCCTCGCCTGGGTATAGGAATGTGGTCTATTGCAATAAATTTTAAAGAAGAAAGTGGATGTTTCATGTTCAAAAACTGTTGTGCCACAAGTTGTTCTGAGTATCCATCTCGGTATGCCACCCGTATAGCTGACCTATGTCCACGTATCCTCTCACATAGTGGGGTTTCGGTTTTACCGATATATGATAACCCACATGGACATATTAATTTATACACCAGAGACTGTGTTTTACACGTAATTGTGTGTTGTATTTTAAACACTTTATTGTTGTGCGGATGTTGAAAAGTTCTTGATGGGGTCATGTGGCTACATGTAACGCACCCTAAACAATGGACACTAGCACGGTGCTAGCTTGCTACTTCTTGAATGTAGCTTTTAATCGGGTCTGTATGTACCAGTATGTCCTTTAATGTTTTATTCCTTTTGAAACAAATCAACAGATTTTCTTTGAACACTTTGGGCAAGGTATCGTCGCTTGCCAGCATCTTCCAATTTTGTTTAATGATTTTGGCTATTTTAGGTAAAGCATCATTATAGGCCATTGGGAATACCATTGCTGGTGGCTTTCTAACTTGCATATTAGCACTGGCATTTCTTGCTTCTTGTTGTGCCTTGAGCAACTCCTGACATCGATAGCCAATTTCAAGGAATTTTTGAGTCATCTCCTCTATCTGTTCTTCCATCTTGTGTTGATCCGAATTATTGCGTGCAACTCTCAAAAATTGCGCTTTGGGTAGTGATTCCTTCAGCATTCTTGGATGTGCACTTTTATTGTGCAACAATGTATTCCGGTCTGTGTCTTTTTTATACAGACAGTATGTAATGCCTTGTTCTTTAATGGATATTTCCAAATCTAAGTATTGAATAGTGGTTGTGCTGATATTAGATGTAAATCTGATTGGAGTATCTAGTTCATTCAAATATTAAACCATTTCTTGCGCTTCCAATTCTGTACCTTTCCAAAAAAACAACAAATCATCGATGTATCGATGGTTGAATTTGGAGAAGATGTGATTTTTCTCATAAATATACATGTAAGAGTTGGCGTACATGGGGGCCATCGCCGCCCCCATGGAGGTACCTGCAACCTGTAAAAACCATAGCTCCCTAATACTTGTGTGATTGCCATTATTTGGCAATATCACCGGGTACTAGTTTAGGGGGTTATCTACTGATCAGCTGCAAGTTGCAGCCACAGCTTAATTCGGAATTTCATTATTCCGATAGAAATTCTGAACCAAAAATATTGACAGAATTATGTCTGGAAACAAATGGTCAAACTGACAACGTTCGGTTTGGATGAAACAATAATTTCAGCGGTGCCCTAGTTTACATTAGAGGACTTTTGTAAATGGCAAAAGGAGGCAACGCCATAAGTATTAGGAGGGCTGAGTCTTATGTATATTCCTATACAGTGTACACAATAAGTATATGTTTGGATCTTGGGGTGGAGCACTTGGAGAGAAGGGTGGGCTAGTTCTTCACTTCACATTTTGGAGATTGCCAGGAGACTGCAGGTGAGGAGGCCAGTTCCAGAGTTCGAACACTCTGCTTCACCTGACCTGCAAAAGATAATTAATTGCAGGTGCTGTTCCCCTGCTAAGAAGGAGATCAGATTTAGTTTTGTTTCCTGTGAGGTGTAAGAGAAGCATCTGAAAGAACTGAAACAGTAAGGTAGATATTTCTGTTGATAAATAAACCGCAATCCAACCCATTCGGTTCATTATTATGTTAAATTAGTGCACAGAAGAGCAAGGATTTTGTTTTGCTTTCTTTTGTTATACTTGGCTGTACCATGTTGAATCTTGGAGTCACGTACAAAGACCAAGTCGTTTAACCTTTTCCAGTGTGTGAAGTGTCTCTAAAGCTTGAAAAGATTGTGTGTAAAACTCTGATCCCAGGACAACGTACCAAAGGAAAGAAGTACTTTTGTCACAACATATAAATAAAAACAAAAACATAATTCTACACATTATAATTATGTGACACAACCAGGATTTTGGTAAGTCAAATCCACCAATATTGGACTTATAGAAACTATGAATAATGAATACCATCTATCTCCTTTACCATGTTCTCTAATTTATCTGTTCTTTTTTGTAGGTCCTGAATTATCTCTCTGGTTTTGATTGTAAATGTGTCTGAGCATATCAAGACAGAGGTTGCAATATCAGGACCTGTGGCGTAACATCCGGGAACTTGTCCCAAATACCGGTTTAAGTTAGCTTGATTTTTCTTGGTTTAGTATTAGTATGTATTTTTTGCTGCTAATAGAGTTTTCTAACCCTATTTTTGTTTGTCACTTTGGAGGCAGTTTATGTCCTTACTCTGCCAGGGCTCTCAATGCAAAGGGCCATCTTAGTTGCCCGCCTTGCAGCTATTACATTTTTAGGTCTTAAGGTCATAAGATTAGAATCTTTAACACGTACTCCTATTAGCTTATTAACTATTTGTCTTTGAGAATCTGGCACATATTTTGTGATGAAAAACAAATTGAATCACTCAAAAAGGTCACATTGGAATCTCTATTAATTTAATTTATATTTATAGACAAAAGATAGTCAACACTGTTTACATTTGTTAAATCGCTGAATATTGAGGACAGACATGACATTCTTACATTGTAAGCTTTGAATGGGTTTTTCCAATATGCATCTCTATGTCCCACTTTAACATTTTCGGAAGATTGAAAATATATTTTCTAGTAAAATATCTTCTTAACAGGAGCCGAGAATTCAGTTTTTTACAAATATAACAACGTTCTGTTGGAATTCTGCTCAAGTTCCTATTATGTCAAAATTAATTATACTCTCTGGATCTATAATATATGCTTCTGTATCATTAACCCATCTATGGAAATGTAACAATAACAGGGTTATTCACTAAAAAGACAATTCAAGGTGAATTTAAAGTGAATTTCAGGTTCAATGTATATATAACTGAACTGGAAACATTCTCTAAGTCAGCTATGCTTTCAATACAGCTAATTCAGCCATCAATTGGTAATTCATTTTGAATTCACTTTAAGTTCTCATTTTGGTGAACAACCATAATATCTACGCCCATCCTTCTTGTCTGGTTCTTAGCCTTAGCAACATAACTTTTACCTTATTTGGAAAAAGTGGGTGGGTTTCTCTTCCTGGTCAACCTCTTTCTTCTCAGTCTATACAACTGAACAATATTACCTACATATGTTTATTTTATTTACACCATTCAGAGTAAATATGTTAGAATTGTTCAACAATCCCGAGAGTAGATGTGCTTTCACTGCTAGGCTGTTTTAGTTAGTCTGCAATAATATGCAATACACAATGTCCACTCCTTTGTTTGCATTTGATTTATTGTTATTGTTCCTTTATTAATTGTCTTTGATTCAACACAGTCTAATTTACTTGGCCTGTAACGAGGAGAAACCAAGAAAAATGTGTTTGTGTGTGCATAGGCGAGGGGTGTTATAATACATTTCAAATATGTAATTAAATGAGTAAACATGGTATCCGTAAAAATATTAATACATGCACTACATATACATTCAACCCAAGCCAATAGAATTAGTTAACATGGTCAATAATTGTTTATTGATAATAGTGCCTTTGGAATTCCACTCCGATTTACAGGAAATAAATTAGATGAAATAAAGCAAGAGCATCAGTCGCGAAGAACTAAACAGTGCAGTACAGAAATAAAATAATTACAGTAAATATTAAGGGTCAGGTGGCAGGAGACCCAGGGGTGCATCTGAGATGAAGAGATAAAGAGATGGACATTTTACCAAACCACCAAGAAAAGCATACATATCCCTGTTAAATACATGGTAATTAGCCCAGATCTAATGGCTCAACATCCTGCTAAACTTCAAGGAAATGACTATATGCTAATAAACAAACAAATAAATAAAGACATATCATAGGAAATATATAGGAAAAATAAACACAATTATTCTGAGCATTCACGTCATATAAATATAGCATTTTCCATATATCTGCATTGTAAGGAAGTTAATGGGGTCTCTGGAGATAGTGAGATCACTATTTTATATGCAAGGAAACCAGGTTGGGGAATTTTATTCTGCAAATTCTTTGTTCTGTTAAACTGAGTGAATGACTTATGGAACAACCAGAATGCGAGGCATAAGAGCTGACGGATTTTAAAATTATACAGAGACATAAATGACTTTCCAGTAGATGTCAAAATTATGGCAGTAAATGACAGCTTTTCATCTTAATGCTGTTTTTCTACCCATGAGAAATAATTGATCTGCATGGCAGAACTTTGCAGAACTCATCCACCTGAGACCTGTTTATGCCTACCCTTTTCTATGAAATTATATAAATCAGGGAGCTTTTAAAAATGTCACTGTGTTGCAAAGTGGCATAATCCCCAGGAATTGTTATGTAGCTCATGGGAATAGTCATGTGCTACTGTTAAAAAGGGTGTCTGAGCAAGCATATTCAAAGTGCCAGCCTAATGGATTTTAAGCCACACTATTTCTTGTAATATAGAGTTTAGAATGCAAAACAAACTGGAGGCACTGGGTGATGAGTGAGTTTTATGCTTCAGATGTCTTAATTTTCTATAAAATTCACATAGTGTGCAGCTTCTGCTCTACTATGAACAATTAAATGTGAGAAAGTGTTATATTTACATAGTTAAACTCCCTTAACTGCTTTTTTTTAATTTTATTATGAAAAAAATCTAAACATTTATTAGAATTATGGGATGCAAGGCTAGTGATGTAATCAAATTCAGTTCAAGGGTAACTACTAAAATAAATTGCTGCAATTGTGCACAATTTTCTTTTTTTTTTTTCATTTATATATTTATCCTGGAATGAAATATCTGAGGATATGTGTATTCTACAGCAACCTCAGCCTGCAAATAATGTTTGCAGTGTATTAATTCTATGTACTTAGGGATTTGTTTACTTCCTCTCCCTGGCAGCTGCAATACAGACATGAGGTTTAACCTACCGATGTTGTTGTAGTCAGAGTAAGGAAAGGGGATGATGGATCGCTAAAGGGACATTATGGTCTCCAGAAATACTACAGTGTAATGTAGTGGTGTTGGTGTCTATAGTCTGTACCTGCAGGCTTTTCAATGTACTGCCTAGAAACACCTGTTGTGACAGTTACTCATACGGCCACTAGAGGTGCTTCCTGTGTCAGTGCAGCACTGGCGTTCAGCATCTCATGCTGAATGTTCCCCCACAGAAATGCATTGATTCAATGCATCTCTATGACAAGATGCTGATTGGCACAGAGCAGTCTTTTGCTGCACATGCACAATAGCCTCCCAATGTTTCCCATGAGAAAGCATTGGATTGGCTGAGAGACCGATGATCTCATCCATGGTGGTGGGGCCATCCGTGACGAGACCAGTGCGGTGTTAGAGAAATGTGAGTAATTTCACATTTTCACAGCACAGACATAACAGCTGCCTATCTTAACAGCCACATCAGCACTATAGTGTCACGGATACAAGCATAGTGTTCCTTTAAATTGCACAAGTGTTGGCAGTCACTTTTTTAACAAATGTATATTAATGCTAATATAAATAAGTGCTATATCACTGCTTGGCATTTTACCTCACTGCACATTACCAGTCTCTTAGAAATCCTGTCCCATATGATAATTATGCAAGTAACAGGTTTTGCAGTAAAACAGTGCGTAAATAATCCCTATATCACTGTAAGCCTGCAATTGTTAACTTATGGTTATAGAGCTGGCACAAGCAGTTCTTTCACATGTAAAAA